CAATCGAATCACAAGGTAAGCCCCTAATCGCCCTAACCAATTTCCTCGCGCCTCTCGAAAAACAGAAAGACCTCTCATGGGGGATAGTAGTTGTATCAACATTAGAAAATGTACCAGAGAGAAGTTTTGTGTGGTAGCTGCAGGGAAGAGTGGCAGTACATCGGAAAAGCGCACGCTTAGTAGGTACTGGGTGGGAGCTGGAGGGAACAATAGCAGTATTTAAATTGGCAAAGCACACCAAAGTCAGGTACTGAGTGGTTCAACCCTAGTAAGTGTGGGAGGTCAAGGCGTGATGGGCACGGAAGCCCTACCCCAGCTTGCCCCGTCCCAATGGGCCAATGGGAGACGACCATGTCAGGAACTCGCTCTGATCGCCCGCGATTCGAATCAGCAGCGATGTTCCATCGAAAGACTGCAGGGTTGTTTGCTGTGCCATTGCGTCGACGGGACTCGAATGCGGAATGGAGAGGCATTGTAAATGAGCAGGGGAGTGATGAATTGACACGAGGTTCAAACAAATTTGTTGCCGGAGTCTTGAGGGCCAGCCACCAACGATCGCCTCTAAGCGTCTCACAATTTAAATTTCTGCCTTCTTTCGACGTAAACAAAACAGAGCATCATGCGTCGTATTACGAAGCTTGGCCTTATGCTAGGCGCGCTGGCTATGATTTGTTGGACGTCAGGTAGGTCAACACACTTGACCGGCGAGCAAATAATACTTGTCCCTCCAGGCCCACTTAGGTGGCTACCTTCTGTCCATAGCCTTCCCTTGTGGTGTGCAATTTCTCAGCCTTTCCTGCGTGTTGTGTGTCCTCACCACCCTCTTATTTGTGACGTTCAAAGCATTGCGGGTGATTACGGCATCGGCTCATGTTGTGTTTATCCCGAAAAGCGATGTTCTACATAGCTGTCAGTGTGGTCAGAGCTCCTATTCCGAGCAAATCCTTCTTCGCTTTGCGACCGTGATGTTCATTCGACACTTTCACCCGTTACTTTTACTCATCTTCATTCCCGGTCATTCACCCTGAAACAGTCACAGCACAAAATACGGAAGTCGAGGAGATCCTCGACCGTGAGTACGGTGCGGACATGGACGAGGACAAGATCATGGCAGACATCGCCAAGACCAATGGTATCGATCCCGAAAAATTCAACTACGAAGAGTGGCTTGCCCAGCAGAAAGAAGAAATCGATGAGAAAGATCGAGCGTAAGTAGTTGTAAGCGGGTGTGTGGGTCGAAAGTATGAGCGTTAAAAAATGAGTAGACCTGATAATGGATTTCAGGCATGCTCTGTGCAAGTCTGTTCGATTGCCTCTTACCTTATCATCCCCTTTTTATCTTCAGTGCCGCACCCTCAGAGCTCGATTTGGCGCTGGAGGCAGAGGGTGAAAAATTCGAATTCCAGGCCGAAGTTTCCCGCCTCATGGACATCATTATTAACTCGCTTTACAAGACCAAGGAAATCTTTCTTCGCGAGCTCATTTCCAACGCCTCGGACGCCTTGGACAAGATCCGCTTCATGGCCATCGGAGATGCCTCCGCTCTCGAGACGAAGCCCGACCTGGAGCTGCGCATCCAGGCGAACAAGGACAAGAACACCCTGGTCATCCGCGACACCGGCGTGGGCATGGACCGCAACGACATGGTGAACAACTTGGGCACAGTCGCCAAGTCCGGCACGGCGAACTTCATGGACGCCCTGGCGGAGGGCCAGGACCTCTCCCTCATTGGTCAGTTTGGCGTGGGCTTTTACTCGATTTACCTCGTAGCAGACAAGGTCCGGGTAGCCTCCAAGAAGAACGGGGCGGAGCAGTACGTATGGGAGTCGACGGCCGACGGCGTCTTCACTGTCGTCAAGGACCCTCGCGGGGACACCTTAGGCCGCGGGACGGAGATCACGCTGTACCTGAAGGATGGTGCCAAGGAGTTCGCCAAGACTGATGTCCTTGAAGGGCTGGTCAAGCGCTACTCCGAGTTTATCTCCTTCCCGATCTACCTGGAGAAGAGCTACAAGGAGGAGGTGGAGGTGCCAGTTGAGGAAGAGGAGGTCGAGAGCGTGACCACGGAGGGTGACGAAGACGAGGAGGAGGAGTTTGAGGAGGTGGAGGTGTCCGACGACGTGAAGACGAAGAAGGAGATGATCACCAAGACGGTCTGGGAGCGGGTGAATACCAACGTAGCCATTTGGTCCCGCCCAAGCTCCGAGATCACCGACGAAGAGTACTCTAACTTCTACAACGCCTTCACCAAAGACACTGTCGCCCCGCAAAGCTGGATCCATTTCAAGGCAGAGGGTGAGATGGAGTTCAAGAGCATCCTCTACATCCCTGGCGAGGCGCCCTCCGATCTCTATGACACATACTACACCAAGACCGCTCAACTTCGCCTGTATGTGAAGAAGGTGTTGATCTCGGACGAGTTCGAGGAGCTCCTCCCTCGCTACATGAATTTCATCCGCGGCGTGGTTGACTCTGACGATCTGCCTCTAAATGTGTCCCGAGAGACGTTGCAGCAGCACAAGCTTCTGAAGGTGATGGCGAAGAAGCTGACGCGCAAGGTATTGGAGATGCTTCGGCGCCTGGCCAGCAAGGGCCATACGAGTGAGCCGGACGAGGCAGAGGAGGAGGAGGAGGAGGAGGAGAGCGAGACGAAGAAGGTGGTGGACAACGAGAAGTACATCAAGTTCTGGGAGACCTTTGGAAAGAGTATCAAGCTGGGCGTGGTCGAGGACATGGTGAACAGGGCTAAATTAGTCAAGCTGCTTCGATTCAGGAGCAGCCTAGAGGGAAACAACTGGACCAGTCTGGAGGGCTACCTCTCTCGTGCCAAGGACTGGCAGAAGTCCATCTACTACTTGGCGGGCGAGTCCATGGAGGCGGTACAGAAGAGCCCCTTTGTGGAGAAGTTTAAGTCCAAGGGATTGGAAGTTCTTTTCTTGGTCGACTCGATCGATGAGTACTGCATCCAGCAGATCCCCGAGTTCGAAGGTAAAAAGCTGCAGTCCATTTCTAAGGAAGGACTTAAATTCGGAGACGAGGACGAGAAGACGGTGAAAAGCCGCGAGAAGTATTACAAAGAAGCCTTCGCCTCCCTGGTCGAGTACCTGAAGACCCTCTTTAAGGGGAAGATCAAGGAGGTGGCCATCTCCCACCGCATCGAGTCGGCACCCTCCGTCATCGTCACGGGCCGCTACGGCCACTCCGCCAATATGGAGCGCATCATGCGCACGCAATCGATCAACGATCCGGCCAAGTATAATGCCCTTTTGGCCCAGAAGACGATGGAAATCAACCCTCGTCACCCCATCGTCGTGGAGCTCAACCGACGGCTGCAGGAGCACGGAGACGACGCCGACGGAGTCTTGGACACGGCGTGGCTTCTCTACGATACTGCCTTGCTCGAGTCAGGCTTCACCCACGATGACGTGCCAAAATTCACGTCCCGCGTCCTCAATGCCATGCGCTCGGGTCTGCACCTCCCCAATTTGGACCTCCACGACGAGGCGGAAATCGCAGTGGAGGAGGAGGATGAGGATGAGGGTGAGGTCATCCCGGAGGGCACCATGCCGGACCTCTCTCAGTACACGGCCTCTGTCTCGGATGAACTCTGAGCGGAGAGAAGTCAGGAATTACTTCTTGCCGGCAATGGGATTTCTGACGGGTGAGAGGATCTCTTTAAAAGATCAGGGAGTGAGGATTGCTCCAGCAGCAGCGGGAGGGGCCTGGACTGCCAATTCAAAACTTTTAAAATAGACATCCTAGCCCAAAATGTTTCCGCGGTGTTCAATAACGCCTCGTGGAGAGGTTTAGATTAGGGTAGAAGGGACCAAAAAAAGTCAGGCGGCAGCCAAGGGGATAGATGGCCGACAACGCGCGCATAGTACCTGGGAAGTGCGCCGGGGAAGTGAGGCCCTTATATTTAGGATGGAGGCCAAAAAAATAAGACAACAACGTGGATGACGCCTTTCCTGTCCAAACGACGAAGGCTCAAGTTTTTTCCTTACGATCACGTTAGTACATTCCGTAGCAGCTTTGCAACTACAATGTTGGTTTCTTTCTCGCGTGCCGTTGGTTCGTGTATTGTTTCATACCTTTTTTTTCCGTCCGATGCGATGGCATCGCCGGGGGGGGGTACGGGAGAGACGTATGTCACAACCCCTCCCACAGGACCCAGCGAGACACTTTTTACACACATTACGTGGCCAATTTCGGTACCCTCTGCGGTGTTTCGTTTCGACCCCACTCATCTCATCACTTGGAGCAAGAAGAGCCTTGAAAGACGTACATCAATGTAGAATGGACGTTGACTCTCCTGGCGGGGTCGCCCTTGCGGGCTACTGCCTGGTCTCGCCAAGTCTGCGCGTCGTCTCCCCCTGATACTGCCATGCGCCTCTGGACGTTTTGTGGCCTTGATGCATTTCACCACGGGTTACTTCCTTCGACACACGGTATGCACAGGGTAGCTCTCGATCGTGCCCATCTTTAGTGGTCCTGACATGGTTAAACGTGTACTCTTGTTGGCGCTTATCCTGTCAGCCCATCTAGCCCCGGCTTTTTCACTTCGACCTCCCCCACCTCTGATCTTCCCAGCTTCGTATGGATCCCGAACAGCTGCGCTTTCACAAACGTCGATGGCTCTTTTCAAAGATCTACGCGACTTTGTTTTTCGGAGGCGAAGGCCCAAAAATGTCTCAGTCCTGCCAAAAGATCAGGAGTCACTTACGAAATATCAACGTTTTCGCCAAGTTATGCCGGTACCACCACCGAACGAGCGCCGTCGTTATGCGTTGGGTGGTGCGTCCTCAAGCTTACCTTCCATGGAAGCTCTATGGGCGGAGGCGTGGCCGACAGCGGCTTGTAAGGATGCAATGGAGCGGCAAAAAGCGCTGAGCGATGGGGATGGTCCTCCCCAGGCAGGTGCACTCACGCGAAAGTTTGGACACAATGAAACATTACGCGCAATATTCTATAAGGACGCGGCATCTTGGTGTCCCTACTGTGCTTCGGTTTGGATGACGTTGGAAGAAAAGTGTATGCCCTACACCTTGAAGCGCATCAATCTGCTTTCCTATGGTGAGAAGCCCGAATGGATATACGACATCTCGGGGACAGGACTCTTGCCCTTGCTGGAAGTAAATGGACGGATGATACGCGAGTCTGTTGAGATTTGCAAGTCGATCGACAAATGGCAAGGTTTCGACGAAGGCGTGATGGTAAAACCTCGGCGGCTGTGGCCCGACGAGGGGGACGCACTCCACGCCGAAGCCGAAGCATTGCTGGGCCTGGAGCGGGACTTGTTCCGGGACTGGTTTGTCTATCTGTTTGAGAAGCCCGAGTCTCATGGCCACGATGAATTTTGGACCGTGCTCCGGCAGGTGGAGAGTGCTCTGGCGAAATACGCCGAAAGCCCGTGGTTTTTGCCCGGCACTGAGCCGTCTCTGGTGGACATCATTTTCGCGCCAAAAGTCGAGCGCGTGATTGCCTCCTGCCTCTATTGGAAAGGACTGACTCTGCGCCAGCACCCAGATCTGCCAGCGTTGAGCAGGTGGCTTGACGCCTTGGATCATCGACCGTCCTACGCTGCTTTCAAAGCCGATTTTTTCACCCTAATCAACAGCTTGGAGCCACTTTTTGGTCGGGCATACAGCGTGAACACACCAGAAGTAGCAGAGCTGCAACAGAAGCTCGACGGTTTTCATCCCACGGCCTGGCGATTGCCTGTATCGGAAGAGGAGAAAGTGCGCGAATATCTTCCAGAGGCCACACAACCGACCGAGCTTTATGCCCGCCAGAGCGCCGCGGTTCGGCTCATCATAAATCATAAGCGGCTGCCTCGCTACATGCTGCGTGCGCTGGGGGTGCCAGGACCAGAGTTTCGCTCTCCACTGGCTGATCCTTTCAACCAAATTGATGAGTGGGCGCTTCCTGAGGTGGAGACTGCCTATAGGTACTTGATATTGGCTCTTCTCCGTGGGAGAGACTACGTGGATCCGCTCTTGGCGGCGGACAAATCAGCAGCAGAAAGTGCGTACGGCTCGTCGGAGGAAGAAAGAGCCCTGGCAAGGGCTAGGATGGTGGCATGCCTAGAGTATCTAAAGTACCGGATTGGAGTCCCGAGAGATATGACCCTTGCAGAGGCGCGGCAAGTGCGTGGAACTTTGACTTGGCTGGTTGAGGCACTGAAATGACGAGGTGGTGAGACTTCTGTCCATTTTCATGTACATAGATAAGCGGTTGGCTCGCAGTCCCTACCGACGGAGAGCCACTGTATTGTATTTCACGTCTACCTAGCATACAAAACTGCAAAGAGAAGTAAGTCTAGCTATCGAGTTCTCTGGTGTTTTAAGGCCAATGCGTACATCGGTCCCATTTGTAATACTTTACAATTTTCCTTTTAGACTTCAGTGCATCATAACAATCTAAATTTGCCATCCCCCCCCCGGTAGGCGACATAGTTCTCCTGTAGTTCTCCCAGACAGGCCTCCACCGTCGTCACACCGTTGCCCAGCGCATGCCGATGACCGCAATGCGCGTCTGACAGAAGCTGAAGGCATTCAGAGGCGCTCAGTCCTTCGTGACTGTGGACACTCAGCATGGCGAGGATGCAGGCGTTGGGAGCGGCAGGCGACACTGCTGCGTGTGACGTCGCCGGCTCAGGATGGGGGGATGCTAGCATGGCCGCGGCTGCAGAACCGTTAGCATCGGCTGGATGCCGATTGTTGTCGTGGTAAGGATTGCACTGCCGTCGTTGGGCCTGTCCACGCTCTGGAAGAGGCGGGCACGCTTCTTCCTGCTCCTCCGGGCGGTCTACGGACTTGCCAGTGTCTTCCACGCTAGCGCACGCTGCCACATTTGGACGATTGCTCTCGTCGCTGATCATCCCGCAATTTGCCCATGCGCTGAGAGCATGCACGTCCTCTGACATGGACATGCTGGCTGTGGAGCCTCTTGCCTCCATTTCCTTGTTGAGATCCTTGTCCGCCTGCAGGCATTTGGCGAGCCTGGTCCGCTGCTTACAAGGGGACCGCGTCTTCGAACGCGTCTGCCGCAACACACATATACCTGCCAGAACGTCGGCCGGGCGCCAGTCAGGCAAGAGTTGCATCAAGACAGGCAAAGGGAAATTCTTAGAGAAGGGCTCTATTCCGCCGAGTTCTGCTCCTAGATGCAACCGCGGGCATGCCGCAGCCGCCTTTTCCATGTGCCGTGCCACCTCTGCTGCGATCATCACAGAATCTTTTAAGCAGGAGGAGACGGACATGCGCGTCCAATTTACAGAACTTCCCTTATCTTCAGCCTGCAATAGAATCGCCAAGACACGCGCTTCGTCGATACTATGCCGTCTTGCTATCTCCGTGATGGGCTGACCACAATTGAATTGAGATACAATGTGATGAGAGACCCTCTCTGACGAATTCGACCACCCGTTTTGCTCCTCATCTTTGTCGTCATTGGCTATTCCTGCCACCATGGTTTGCGCGTATACATCGAAAGAGAGCCCTGTTTCTATACAGACCTTCTCAAGCTTTTCTAAAAATACTTGACCGAAGGTCTAAAATGGGGTATGAAAAGAGCACATTACGACAGAAAAATAGATAAATAGAACAGAGGACAGAATAACACACAGTAAAGGAGAGTAGAACGGTGTGGCAGCTGAGGATCACAGCATGCCGTTAGGTTTTTTGTTAGAGTGACACTATAGCGGATGATTAACTTACAGAGGTTTGCAGCTGTGACCAAGTAGGTATTACTCCGCCTGGGCAGGCGTTCAACGAACTGGGACGAAGACGCACAACGGCTTCAAGTTGATGGGCGGTTGGTAAAGGTAGGCCACCGAGAGATGAATACAGGTACTCAAGCCTGAAAAATGATCGTTCCGAAATGAAATCTTGTTGACAACTTATCGATGTCGTGGTTCCTCTTTAAGGAAGGCGAACAAGGAGACAAGCGTAAATTACAATAGCACATACCGTAGGTTTTCAAGGGCGTGGATTACGTGTGCAATCTTGACCCTCATTTGCAGCATTTCCTTTGTCTTGGGATGCTCTCGCAGTGACCAGTCCAGCCGGTAACTCGAGTAGCCTGAGTCCGATTTTCTCTGGGCTTTCGGTCCAGTGGTCTCCGCTTCAGTTGGTTGAATCATGTCCAAACATTTTCCTATCGTCAGTGTTGTTAACAAGAGCGGAGATGGGCTCACGCTTGGTACTAATCGTCGTGCAGCCACAAGAGCCAAACGCAACTTCCATTTCGATGACGATCGCCGACTTGTCTTCAAGTAGGGATACGATCGTTATATTCCCAAGCAAATGCCGGTTCTAAGATGTGCTCGAGACTTCTTGAATGCATTAACTTTTTTTTGCTTTCAACAGAGGAACATCGGATCAAACTATACTTTCTATTGCTGCATGGTGCGTCCTGTGGCCTTGCTGCCTCACACAGCGAGACAAATGAATGGCCAGGCGGATCAGTTTGTGCTCGGATCAAAAGAGGTGAGTTATTTTTGAACAAATTTGTTTATGCATCGAGTCATCGCAATCCTAGGACAGGAGCGTGCGAACCATTTCCGCTAATTTGAAAAACAAGACTGCCGCTTCTTTGCTCGCGGAGCCCGCGCTTGCCTTTCTTTGCCCGTGATAATAGCCTCGAGCAAAATCGTTCGATAGAATACACGCTACAATTTGCCCCGCGACTGACACCGTAATATACCATCACTTTTATAAAAACTTTCATTCCTGCTATTCGGTATTCTTACCCAATGCATACATAAATCTGCCTGAGAAATTTATTCACACGAGTCCCCCGCATGGGACCCTCTTCACTTTCCACCGCCATTGAAGTCAGGCAGCGTATCCGTCCTTCATACCCTCTCCCTGTCTCCCTTGTCACGCCCCGATCCTCCCCCCTTTCAATATTCCTGGCTTCGTTGCCCCTGCTGGTGACCCCGGCGATGGCGTCGCTGCCGGGCTAGGAGGGGCCATAGTGGCGCGCGGCGCGACCTTGGGCTTGCTCAATTTCTTTCCCGCCAAAAGGTCAACAATCTCAGGACCAGTTAGCGTCTCGTGATCCAAGAGCGCCTTGGCGAGCAGGTCCAGGTCGCCCTTGTGTTTCACAAGGAGCTCCTTGGCTCGGAGGTGCGAGGCGTCCAGAATGGCCTTCACCTCTCTGTCGATGGCGGCCCGCGTCTCAGGACTCTGCTCGCCCCCATCCTTCGCGTGAAAGACCAGACCCACTGCCTCGCTCATCCCCCATTGCGTCACCATCGCCCGGGCCAACCGCGTGGCCTGCTGAATATCCGAGCTTGCCCCGCTGGTCACATTCTCCGCGCCGAAGATCAGCTCCTCCGCCACCCGCCCCCCCATGCACACGTCCAACCGCGCCATGATCTGCTTCTTACTCATGCTCGTCTGGTCGCCATCTGGCAGTTGCGTCACCATCCCCAGAGCCTGTCCCCGCGGCATGATGGTCGCCTTGTACACCGGGTCCGCCCCCCCTGTCTTGAGGGCCACTAGCGCGTGCCCCCCTTCGTGGTAGGCCGTCACCGTGGCCGTTTCCTTGGAAATAACCGCCGAGCGGCGTTCTGAGCCCATCATGATTTTGTCCTTGGCCCACTCGAAGGTAGCCATGTTGATGGCCTTCAAGCCGTCGATGGAGGCTTTCAACGCGGCCTCGTTGATCAGGTTGGAGAGCTCTGCGCCACTCATTCCCGGGGTGCCCCTAGCCAAGACATCCATGTTTACGTCCGAATCGGTGGGGATATTCTTCACGTACAACTCGAGAATTTGCTTTCGGCCCAGGATATCCGGGAGGGGGACCTGCACGTGCTTGTCGAAGCGACCCGGGCGCAGCAAGGCTTCGTCCAGGGACTGGGGAAAATTGGTGGCGCCGATGATAATCACGCCCTTGTTCTGCTCGAAGCCATCGAGCTCCACCAGCAGCTGATTCAGCGTCATTTTCATCGCCTGCTGATCCTTCAAGTGTCGGGCCCCTCCGATCGCATCGATCTCGTCCACGAAGATGATGCAAGGCGCGCGCTTCTTGGCCGCCTCGAACAGGTCCCTGACCCGCCGTGCCCCCACCCCCACGTACATCTCCTCGAATTCCGAGCCCGAAGCATAGAAAAAAGGCACTCCTGCCTCCCCCGCAATGGCCCTGGCCAATAGCGTCTTCCCTGTTCCCGGGGGGCCGAGCAACAACAATCCTTTCGGGAGCTTCCCGCCCAGGCGGGTGAACCGGGACGGGTCTTTCAGGTAGAGCACGATTTCCTCCAGCTCTTGCTTGGCCTCGTCCACGCCCATCACGTCCGAGAAGCGCTTGTCGGAGGACTCAGCCATGTGCAGGTTGGTGGACATCATGAGCTTGCTGGAGATGCCTTTGTCGTCGATCATGGCCGAGAGACCCGAGATAACCAGAAATACGAACAAAGTAAACCGGAACGTCCGCCACAACTGTTGCTTGAAGCCTGGCTCTACCATGGTCACGTACAGGGGTTGGCTTGGATCGTAGCCTCCTAAAGCTGACGCTGCGGGCGCCATGCTCGACCCTGCCCCTACGGACGTCGCCGGTCCTCCAACCCCAGCCGCCGCTCCCAAAGCCTCCCGCCCTCCCTCCACGCCGGCTGCAACCCTTCCCCCTCCCTCAGTGCCCCCGGCAACCATTGGCTGCAAGAGCGGACGCAGGGGCATGCTGTCCAGTTTCCCC